AACAATTTTAAATGTGCATCGTTCATATAAATTGAATGTATTTAGAAGGGTGATAATTCGTCATTTTAAGAATGTATTTTCTTGTTGTTGCATTAAAAAACAAACAAATCTATTAAGTATTGATCTCAAAATTGAATTTTATACACACACACACACACACCTTGTTGATTAAACATTGATTTGTATTTTAAACTAGTGATGTTGAGGTCACGTGACGCAAAGCTTTTGTGCTTGCGTGGAAGACACGTGGAAATTGATTATTATTTTTTTGTAAGGGTGATGCACCCGTGGAGCTTTGGTGTCTAGAATGATGAACCTGTGTTCGGCGCGAGAAGGTTCAAGGAGCTGCTGGATTTAAATCTGGACCACGCGTTGATGGTAAAATATGTGGTAGGGACTGGGGTTATGGGCTTGCCAGGGCAAGTGGGGGCCTGGGCCCATTAGGTGAATTCATTATGGTGGTAAGAGGCAGGCGTGTACAACGAGCATTGAAATTTGATCGTGTCGTTTTCGTAAAAGACATCACCGGCACCGGCACTGCTCGGCTGGCAAGCCCACGTGCCACTGTAAAATGGGAGGGGCGCAAAAGCTGAACCAAACTTCTGCTGGAATCTGCTTTTTCTTTTTTTATTCCTTTAGATGGGGCGTAGGCTTGGATCTGATTTTGTAACCCACTGGGTTTGGAGAGCTGTGATTGCATGCAGTCAAGTGCTTGTAGCCTTGTACTAAGGCTCTGATGCTAATTACCCTACCGAGCATTTTGTTGGATTTATCTTCAGCTTGGCCCAGTTCGGACGTAGGTGGGCGGACACCAGGGTTCTAGAGAGGCTTCGGCGTCATCGGTTGATTTGCCAATTCAAAACTTTTGAACTACTGTACACTTTGATTTACATGATTTATTTGTTTTTTACTTCAGTAATTGAATTGTTGCACGTTTGAGTATGTGTTTTTTTTTCTATCAGATTTTATTAACAAGTCCATTAAAAATATATATAAATTGCATGCATAACAACAAAAATAATTTATAATTATAGCTTTTATAACACTTTACTTTCAAAGGATCATGTATTGAAAATATATTTTTTAAAAATTTTACAAAGAAAAATTTAATGAGAAAAAACCTAAGCGGAAAAAAAGACACAATATTCTCGTGTTATTTCTAAATATTTTATAATTTAATAAAATATTTTATATAAATATTTCAAGATTCATATTTGAATACTTTTAGATTCATAAAAATATTTCATTAAAACCTTGTAAAGAAAAATACAATGAGAAAAAACTTAAACAAATAAAAAAAATTATAATTTATATTGACTTTACCTTAAAAATATGTGTTTCATAATAAAGTCTTTAAAATTACACATTCTAATATTATGGACAAGTTTCTCGAAAGTTTAGCTGATAAAAACTTTATACATGAATATACTAAATTATTTACTGACTGGATTTATTTGATATTATTTTTTATAATTTTTAAAGTTTGTGAATATAAAAATTTTTAATGAAATATAATTTATTTTGTCTCATTTGATATAATTTTCTTATTTTCAAACGATATAATAGGATTATCCTTAATAGTTAATAATTTTTTTTATGTGCTAGATAATTAACCTTAATTATATATATATTTAATTGTGATAATTTTTAAATGATTTAATAAAATAACAACTGATATTTATTTAATAGGTCTCTAATAATTAAAAAATTCAAATATCATAAAAAACTAATAAACTAAACCATGACACTCCGTTAATTATTGCTTGTTTTGATTTATACGCTTTTAGTTGTTTTGTGTGTGTGTGTGTGTGTATCTCAATAGCAGCTGTCCCATGTTTGGATTTACATCTCTTCTGTCAAATTACATCGATAAGCATGTTAAAAAGCATCACTTGTACAATAAAAACAAATATTATACAATATTAAAGTCAAATTGAAAAAATAAATTATCATTCTAACTCTTTTTTTTTTTGTGCATCTGATTTTCACGTGTTTCTTAACCGGTTTGCTTGTGGAACCTAATAGGATGAGTGCATATACAAAAATTTCAACTTACAATAATAAAAAGAAATTTAAATAGCTAAAATTGTCTGGTCCACATTTATTGTTTTTATTTCACAAAAAAGAGAGACAAGGATGCTTGATTGTAAGTTGTAGGAAAGATAATAGCTATTTGACTTTTTATTGCAGGTTGAATATATTTTTTTTAAAAAAATTAAGTATATAGATTTTTCTGACATAAAATTTTTTAAGTATAAATTAAAATGTTCAGAAACATTTCTAATTAAAATTAATTAAAAATCATATATGTCAATAAATAATAATAAAAATTATTAACAATAATTAAAGATAGATGAAAAAATCAAGAGATATGAGGTGAAAAATATTAAATTAGAAAAACAATTAAAAAAACTTGAAACAATCAAGGATAACCTGCAATTTAAGTAATGGGACCCCAATAGACGAACAAAAAGGAAATTGAAGAAAATCAAAGTCCAAAATTAAAGAACTTCAAATAAAATTAAAAAAAAAATAGTTTTAAAATAATATAATGTTGAATGATAAAATAAAAAAATAATTTAAAAAACTTGTTAAAATGAATTTAACAAAAAACTAAAAATAAAAATAATTGAGATAACTTGAAATGTTTTTAAAATTAATGAAAAATTATAAAGAAAACAAGTAAATAAAAATAACAAAACTCAATTTTCAATTAAATAAATATTGAAGTCTAAAATAAATAAAAAATAAGTTTTTTTTTAGAAAAAATTAAAATTATATTTAACAAGATAGATCTTCACTTTCAGATCAAAATAATGATATGTATATATTATATATAAAAATACAAATACAAAAATCATAAAAAAATACTAACACTCGTGTCAACCTAAAAACACGTAAATAGAAGGTTTGCACGATGGAGGTCCTTAAAATATAAATATTTTTTTTTTTTCACGAAGCGCAGCATCACGCATACAAGTGACAGTTTATTTAGATATATCTTTTTTTTTAATTAATTCATGGTTATGCTATCACAACAATATAAAGATTTTAAAACTGTTCTTTTTCTCTGGCAGCACATTTTTTCTTTTCAAGGTTTTGATTTTTTGATCTCTGCGATTTAATATTTTTATAATTTTTAAATTATTTGATGATCTTCCTTTGTTTTCAATAAAATATAAATTTTAAGTTCACTAATGTATTTTTAAATATAAATGATGTAAATGATATTATTTGAACCTTTAAAGTTTTCCGATTATATTGTTAACTGTTCATCCTCGAGTCATTTTCCGTAACATTGTTCAACGGCCATTGGTAAATTACGAATAAACTTCTCTCTTCTTCTTCTTTTTATTTTATTTATGGTGGTGGTGGTGTAGGATCAAGATACTACATTGTTGAAATTGTAGTCGGCCAGGGCCCCGCTCCGCTTTCGATAGCAATGTTGCATATCAATTCAAGATCATGGAATATGTAAGCAACCGAACTGGGTTGTGGGATTTTATTTACACTAATTATAGTTTAGAACTTTTTTCTCTCTAGTTGTTGAAGGTTTTTTTATGTATATATAATTGGTTCACTAAGCAAACTTTGTGGCCAGCATGAGAGAGTTTATAGATCTCATTGGATGAAGACGCATGGTTTGCTGATTTATTCAGTTCTTTTCTGATATGAAGGTAGCTAGGGCTGGACTTGACTCGAGTCCTTCCTACTATCCATAGGAGAGCGTGGCACTTGTCTAAGCAGCTATTGTTCAATTTTTTTTTCTCCACATTACGGCTACCAAGTTGAGCACGGTACATCATCTTCAACCAGTCGTGAGAGTTTGAGATAATGTGCGACATGGGTAATATGCATTTCACATCAGAAGCTTTTGAAAAGAGTTGTCAAGAACATTTATGACAAATTATGCTGTAGGTTTCTTTACGTATTATGCCACACAATCCGAGCAATTTATACATGCATCGCTATCAGGTTTTTCAATTCATTCACAAGACTGCTTCTTAATTTTTTTGATCATTTGAGTGCAGAACAGAATGTCATCCCGTCCTGATCACAGAATGCTTCCTCAATCCTGTTCAATCCCGCAGTAAAATGGCAGAGCTTCTTTTTTAAACTTACGGAGTTCCATCTGTTGATATAGACTCTTGGCTGTCCATCATGAGTAAACTTCTCAGCTCTTTTAGGGGAAGGTTTCTAGCTCCCATTCCATGTGCATGGCCATTCTAATTAACTTGAATTATTTTTGCGGTGTCATCACAGCGTTTGGTGGTGATGCTGCATTCAGCTGTAAGTATAATCAGCTGCATGGAATTTGTGATAAAGACAGGCTTGCTATTTGTCCAGGATTTACAACGACTCATGCTATTCCTGTATTGCTTTCCTAACCATGGCTTCTTCTTTGTTGGAATATCTTTCCAGAATTAGGGGTGATCTTTGTTTATTTGTTTTTTGCATCACAATTACATAAAATTCTCTTGCAAGGTTGCCGGTGCACTGCGGTTATGAATTGTTAAATCAATAAGTTTTGGCATGAGATTTCACTTATACGCGTCAATTAAATGGAGGTTGCAATGCAAGCCAGGATAGAATGGAGACGCAAATCCCCCCCCCCCCTCACACACTTGTGTCGTTTCTTCAATACATGCCACACATGTATCTGTTGAAAGCTATACGTTTGCTTCTAATTGCAGCTGTTTCAGTATTTCCTTTCCAGAAACAGTATCGCTAGAGATGTTTTCCTGGACATTTTTCTTTTCACTTGTATTAATACCCATTCAAATCTCAAGTATTTTCAATATTCTAGTCCCCATGATTCAATCTAACCCTATTTTCTACTCTTTTAAACTAATGACATAATGTGACCTGTGTTTCTGTTTCCAGTTTATTGATGCCTTTTTATAAAGGGTGCTCCCGAACTACTATTTGTCACTGATTACTTGAAGCAGCTTCTTGCGTTTAAATACCGTCATCACATGTGAATAAATGCCCAGCTGGATTCTGCCTCAATCTAATGAGTGCAGTATATATGTAATCCTTTTTTTTTTTTAACTTTTCTTTTCTTTTCTAATGGGTTCATGCATTAGCGCTTGGTTTACATGAGAGGAAGTTGAAGAAAAAGATAATGACCGAGGGAAGGGTGAGGTTACTTTTGGTGCCAAAGATGAAGATCGGCAACTTTACAAACTGATGAGCAAAGATAACGATGACGACGACAAGGGGCTAGATGAGGATGGAACAGAGCTTGCCTGTGTATCTTCCAGGCTTCAGGTCGGATTTTCTTTATTCTGGTATATTTGACCTTTTGCTCCGTTGTCCCCTCTTCTTATGTCCTGTTCTTGATCATTCAATTCTGTTATGGGCCATTCAATAACTTATTGCTCACTGACATGACTGGAGATAGAAGCCAGAACCAGGACCCTCACAACCAGCTGCTGACGTACCACATTCTCGTCCTCTGACCAAGGAAGATTTCCAAGTTCTGCTCGGGGTTGAAAGGTTCCGATGCCCCGAGATCTTGTTTCATCCCAACTTAGTCGGCATCGACCAGGCAGGCCTATATGAGAAGGCTGGGGTCTCGATAAGGAGGCTGCCATCCAAGGACCAAGTCTTGGAGGAGAGACTGACCAGTTCAATCCTTCTGACTGGTGGAAGTTGCCTTTACCCTGGTCTGAGTGAGCGCTTAGAAGCTGTGTATGATTTGGCCTTGTGGATCACCTATAAAGGTGGTCAGAGCATTGGATCCTGTTCTTGATGCGTGGCGTGGGGCTTCTGTTTATGCAGCTGCAGTTCAATTCCCACAACAGACATTTAGTAGAGTGGATTTCAATGAGAAGGATGAAGATTGGCTTCACAGATACCAATTTCAATACACAATATAATTATATTATCACATGCCAATTTCAATACAAATTATAATTGTATCGTTATGCTTGTGTGCTCGAGTCTTCATATGAGATGGCTGTATAGATTTCAATCTGAAGAAATTACTGAACTTTGGCAGCTCATGCCATTTTTCGTTAATGCCACTTCGTCGAACACAAATGAGATTTTTCTTAGCTACTTCTATATTTGCTTTGCCATGAATTCAGAGCTGTTTCAAGTTTCAGTTTTGATATTTCAGTTTTCACCCGACCTTCATTTTATCTCCCGTGGAATTGTTTTCCCAGATTTTGTTGTAACGCGGTCTTCCTAGGAAAAAGTTTATGTTTTCTATTGTCTCTCCCATCGATAGTTAACCTTGAGAGACGCTGGCTGGAATATGGGAATTTATCACTGGTAGCGACTTGGCGCAGGTCAAGTATGATATCCTGCCCTGCTTCCCTGTGCCAGATGTGAGCCTGGAGTACTGTACGTGAAAAATCATCGAGCGGTAAAAAAATAAAATAAAATTCCAAGGTTCACTTAGGCTTTGTTTTGTAATATAGTTTGTGTAGTTGAAAGTGATACGGTAAAATGGATGCCTTTTACACGTTTTCAGATGATATTTGATTGTTTTGGTATTAGGTTTTAAGATTATGTTTTAAAAGTGTGTTTAATATATAAAAAATGTTTTTAATATATATATTTTTTTATAATTTTGATATGTTAATATAAAAAATTAAAAAAATTATTTTAATGTATTTTCCAATAAAAAATATTTTTAAAAAATATTTTGCACTACAATATTAAATACATACTTAATTTTTAAAATTTCACAACCAGAAAAATATATATAAAAATAATTATTAATTAAAAATCATTTTTATAAAAATGCACCATAAATATGACAAAGATCAAAGTGTTCTTCATTACAATTTATTCTAATATTAAATGAAACCAGTCTTTTCTTTCTTTCTTTTCGAAAAAAATTGATATAATATTATTAATAAGAATAACATTTTATATTGTTGCAAGGACCCCAAAACCTAATTAAAAAATCAACTTGATTAATAATATATATGAATCTAGAACAATTTTTTTTTTTTCATTCCATGAAAGGTCTAATGGGTCTTGAAGTCTTGGACAAGAACATTAACCTTGTTACAGTTAAAGATGCTAGTGGATAGAACTACTCCTGTAATGAATTAGTTTATTAGCCTAAGAGAAAAGAATTTATCTGGGAAAAAAAAAGGAAAAGGAAAAGGAACTGATGCAAAGGCTGGAGGCAGGGGTAGGGGTCTCTGCAAGAACAGAGGGCAAAGCCAATATAGAAAACCATTTATTGCTTTTAAGAACAATGTCACAAAGAGCGGCTATTTTGGTCACCAAACCACAAATCCAGCTCTGATGAGCTTGGCCCAAGCAAGAAATCGACCGTTGGAAACTTGAAACAAAACACACTATATAAAAACAACTTCAGAACCCAAAAAAAACCCTTCTCTTTACCAACTCCGCTCCTGCATATACGACCCCAAATTTCGACCGTTGCAAGTCTTCTTCCACACAAAAGAACCCTAAAACAAAAACCCTCCATTGAGAATCCCTCTCTTTCGTTCCACAGAGAGGGCTTTTCAATAAATATTCTTCACTGTTCATCAACAAAATCAAAAGAGAAACCAATAGCTCAGAACTTCTCAAAAACATCAAACAAATATGGATTCAACACCAAGAAGAAAGAGTGGCCTGAACCTCCCATCTGGGATGAATGAGACTTCTTTAAGACTAGAGACCTTTTCCTCTTCCAGTTCTTTTAGAGCAGTAACATGCGTATCATCACCCAGAGCAATATCAAGCCTATCTTCACCCTCGAAAACCTCATCTTGTAGTGATAGATTCATACCTTGCAGATCATCTTCAAGGCTCCACACTTTTGGACTCGTAGAGAAAGGATCTCCTGTTAAAGAAGGAGGCAACGAAGCTTATGCAAGGTTATTGAAATCAGAGCTTTTCGGGTCTGATTTTGGTTCCTTTTCTTCTCCTCCAGGTGGTCAAGGAGGGTTCAGTAGTCCTAACAAGAATATGTTGAGGTTCAAGACCGATCATTCGGGGCCTAATTCGCCGTTTTCTCCTTCAATCTTGGGACACGATAGTGGGATTTCTAGTGAGTCTTCTACTCCTCCCAAGCCACCAAGAAAAGTCCCCAAAACACCTCACAAGGTAACTGCCGAGTCTTTTTTTTTTTTTTTTCAATTTTGGGTTTCTTTGGTTGTTTAGAAAATTGTGGATAAAGAAGATTGTTTTGCATCCCTTTTGATTTCATTGGATTCGATAGAAATCATTGAAGATTCAGTCCAAGAAAATGGTAATTATTGAAGGTTAATTTTGCTGCAGGTTTTGGATGCCCCGTCACTTCAAGACGACTTCTATCTGAATCTTGTGGATTGGTCCTCGCAGAATGTACTCGCTGTTGGGTTGGGAACTTGTGTCTATTTATGGACCGCATCGAATAGTAAAGTAAGTTCGATCGTGCAAGGTTCTTAGCATGTTGAACAGCTCCAAAAACTGTCCAATCCAAAGCAAAATGGTCTCTTAAGTAGTTTCTTTGGATAGTAACCTACTGTTTAAAATGGGGCCGACTGAGGCATTAGATGTTTAAACCTTTTTGTTATCTTGTTCTCAGGTGACAAGGTTGTGTGATTTAGGGCCTAATGACAGTGTATGCTCTGTGCAATGGGCCCGGGAAGGCTCATACATATCAGTTGGTACACATCTTGGTCAAGTTCAGGTAGCTCTAACGGTCTAATTTAGCCCCAAATCTTGTATTTTTATATGAGTCATTTTGATTTATGGTCTGCTGTCAATGTTTGTTATAGGTGTGGGATGGAACACAGTGCAAGAGGGTCCGAACCATGGGAGGGCATCAAACAAGAACGGGTGTCTTGGCTTGGAACTCTAGGACACTAGCATCAGGAAGCAGGGACCGCCATATACTTCAGCATGATCTTCGAATTTCCAGTGACTATGTCAGCAAACTTATTGGTCACAAATCTGAGGTAAAGTCTAAAGCAGAGGAGTTGAATAAATGGCTCAGTTCAACAATTCCTGACTGGTATTCCCAATATTTTGTCTAAATGGATTATATGGACTAGGATTTAGTTGTGAAATATTAATTTTGTGTATGGTGGAAAAAATGGAAGTAAGCCCCTCTATCACTTTTTCCAGGTATGTGGCTTAAAATGGTCACATGATGACAGGGAACTTGCATCTGGTGGAAATGATAATCAGGTAAAGATTACTAGATTTTTCTTGCTCATGGTAGCAATTCTTTTTCATTAGCTAATAAATATTCTGGTGGCATGTCCCCTTTTATTTGTGTGTATATTAACGTGTAATCAAGTCGATGCCCTGTTGGTGATCAGCTCTTGGTATGGAATCAGCACTCCCAGCTACCAATTTTGAAACTGACTGAACACACAGCTGCTGTCAAGGCCATTACTTGGTCACCCCACCAGAGTGGCCTTCTTGCATCCGGAGGTGGAACTGCTGATAGATGTATTCGCTTTTGGAACACCACCAATGGTCATCAATTAAACCATGTTGACACAGGAAGCCAGGTTTTTCCTCTACTTCTTGCTTAATTTTCACTAGGTCATGGAACTTCATAGAACTAGTTTCCGATCTCTTAAAGACCCCTCAGCTTACTGGATTTTCACTGGCTGTCTGCAGGTGTGCAATCTAGCTTGGAGCAAGAACGTTAATGAGCTGGTCAGCACTCATGGGTACTCCCAGAATCAAATTATGGTGTGGAAATATCCATCATTATCCAAGGTATTAACTAAAGATGCTGCTAGTTCTTCGTAATTAATCTGTCTCGTAGCTAAAACAGCCACCAGTTCAAGATTTGCAAGGGAAAATCCTGTTAAGAAAATCCGTCTGTTTTCGGTTTGTGATAGGTTGCAACTCTAGTTGGTCACAGTTTGCGAGTACTCTATCTTGCAATGTCTCCTGATGGTCAGGTACCGCAATATCTCCATTTTCAAGCATTCCTGGCAAAATTATGATTTCTGCATGTCTAAGGATAGAAGAAGAAATGATCATGAACAGGTTTTTAATATCAAAATTGTCTGTTCATCATGTAGACAATAGTAACTGGAGCAGGGGATGAGACATTGCGGTTTTGGAACGTCTTCCCCTCTATGAAAACACAGGTAAGCAAGCAAGCGCGTTACGTGATATTAAGGGGTTTTCAGTTGCCTTTCCAGTACTAAGCTTTTCTTTTTTATTGTGGTTTCAGACACCAGTGAAAGATACAGGCCTTTGGTCATTAGGACGAACCCAGATTCGGTGACAAACACTACTCAAATCTGAAGCTAATTTATATTGTAAATACATATACTACAAACAAAGTACAGGAAGGAGTTCGATTTCTTTTGTTCTTTTCTGCCCGAGTTTGAACTTTGAACTAGTTTGCTAAATTATACTGTAGAGTTTGAACAGGATTTTTGTATATTGTACTAGTTTTTCACACATACCCATACATTCAAGAAAATTGTGATTTCATTGAGAAAAGGAAAGGGATCGGATGAAGTAATTCATTACTATCACTAATGAAGTGCTGTTCTGTATGAAAAGGGATCGGATGAAATAATCATTATCATGAGCCTAACTTTTCAAGTTCTGTATGAAAAGCATCGCATGAAGTAATTCATTCTCACGAGTCTGGATTTTATGGGTTTTTCCTCCTCTTGTCTCATGATATTTTGGTGAATGTAATTGATTAGATCGAAATTAGTATCGCCAATGAAGTGCTGTTATTCCTGCAAAATAATCTTTATGAGAACATGAGCCAAAATTTACAAGTTCTGTATGAGAAAAGAATGAATAAGAAAAGCAGGCTGGGAATGATCTCCAATGCAAAGCTCAGAGATGCATCAGATGATACAGGAATAGACTGGCAGAACTTTTCCTTTCTCCAGCAAACTCTTGATGAACACCTCGTGGCCTTGGGCCTCAACCACGATGCCTTTCTGAAGAGTAGTCTTGCAAATCCGGCTAAATTCTGTATGGCGGACAGTGCAATGGAAGTCAGAAATATGCTGTTACCACATCTACTGGTATCTAATCTACTCCATAACCATATTGCCACCTTGGTCATCCTCAGTCTCTAGAAGCTTAATTACTAGGTGCCCACCTGGTTGCAATATTCGATTATCATCTGCAACTTTCATAGAATCACTTAACGGCCTGTGTATTCTAAAATCATCATCAAGATGGGCTTGTGCTGCTCGACCAACTGCCAGACCAAGCGCTTGCATTCCTAACTCTGCATATGAAGCTGCATCTCTAGTTGAGATCCCAGAAACCAAGGGACACATGTCTGAGAGCACCACAGAAAACCCCTTCTGCTGCAGAACACACAAATCAAACCCAAATCAGGAAATCCGCAAAGGCAGACAAGGAGACATTTGAAGAAAAGTTTTGAATTCGGGAAGCCAAGGTAATCATCGCATTGAATCTCAGGAAAGTTCAATTGGTTAATTAAGAAGAGAAAATGGCTCATAAGAATCATGTTTTATCACATCATAAGTGAAACTAGAACCCTGCAAAATTTTTTTCCTTGTTGTGGGCATCTGGAAATAAAATTTACTCATACATCAAGGATTTATCTTGGCGTGTGATGGTATCATTTAATTTTTATGGTTATGGTTTGCAAATTTAAATTTAAAAAAAAAATAATGGAACTCGCACAAAACTCAGACCTTTATTGATTAGTCAAATACTGTTACATTTATGGTTAGAATAAAACGTAAATCCCACGACATCAAATCCCGGGGTCAAAATGATTATTTATTAGCAGTAAAAATGATTTTTAGATTCCTAAGAAGTTCATATATTATATACACACACACAATGGACAAATCCCCAAGGCCATTAATTGGGCTTGTGCCTAAACCGGGTAAGACTCCTAATAATCTTGGGCTTCGAGTCCACCAATATATACGCAATGGGCCATTTTGGTCTTTTGGTTTTATTCACCCCTTACTATATTATTAAATTAATAACATTTTGAGAGATGTGAATATGTGATTTGCCTAAGAGAGCTCGTTTAAGGCTTAACGGGATAATTTACAATATTGTTTTGTTTTGAATAAAAAAATAAAATGTTTTTATTAAAAAAACATATAAAATTAAATTGAATTTTGATCGAGTTAATTTTAGATTAATTTTTTTAAAAAAAAAAAACCTCGCTTAGATAATTAAAGGTTTGTCGTCAACTTTAATAAACATGGTGTGAACAAGTTAAAGTATTAATTTTTAATTATTTAAAATTGCTTGAAAATAAATTTTTATTAAAATAAAAGGAGCAAATTTTTCCATCAGTTATTCTATTTAACATAAATTATAAGCACTTAAGTTGGATTAGTTACTGGTTTCATAATGAATTAATGAAAAGATTTGGTAAAAAAAAACACATGAAACCCATGGTGGAATACATTCAAGAATTTCAGCTTGTTTTAGATGGTGCGATGTGAGATTTTAAATGACATAAATATTTGTTATTTTTTAAATAGTATAGTGACTGACCACCATGCTTCTTTAATTACATGTTGACTTGGGAACCTCTCTGTCGAGCAGGTGGAGATGCATGTATTTGGTATTTCCAATTTCGTTAAAGCCATTTAATCCGGCACGTTTAAGAAGATGAAAAGAACGATTTTGATGGTAGCATAACTTGGGCTAGTCTCTCCGCAGCACCATCCTTTATCTAGTTAGTAGTGGGAATTTGATGTAATGGTAATAATTATTTTTAAATTTTTTTATTTATAAATATATTTTAATAATATTTTTTTATTTATTAAATTAATTTTTTAATTTCATTACATCAAGATAATTTTAAAATATTTAGATTTTTGCCACGTTTCTGCCGCTTCCCAACGCTATCTACCATCACATGCAAACTTTTCTCTGGTTGACTTAAGACACATTGACTCAGGGAGGAAGGAGATAGTTTTTCTTTGTGTTGACTTACGATCCAATGGAATTCTCGAAGGGAAAAGCAAAGAAGATACATTGAACCCTAATTAAAAGTTAGAATTATTTTCCCATCCCATTCTGCAAAACTAGATGTACTCCCAGAATATTAGAATTTAGATACATTGAATCGTTATTAACACCCTTTTTGTTTTTATATTTTTATAAGTGTTTTTCTAATTATTTTAATTTATTTTTTATTTTAAATTAATATTTTTTTGGTGACTTCAGCTCATTTTAGCATATTAATATTAAAAATAATTACTACCACACTTTTAAATTCCTTCTAAAATTAGAATATTGCAGCAGCATTGTCATCTTTTTGCCGAATTCTTACATGAAACCACCTTTTTTGGCATGATAACGTTGATACCCTGAATAGCGACTAGCAAGTGTTCGGGAATTATCCCCTTCCTACCTTTCCACACCCAATATTGAGTTTTCCACCAAGATATACAAGATATTCTGCTAGGTTTTAGCATTTGACTTATCGTATGTTTTAAGATTATGTATCATATCTTGCATGTTCGTAATGCATGACATCGAGTAAAATAACAGTTGCAGCACAGCAGTTCTTTGCTGGTATATAAATATATGGGCGTAGCATTACTAAGAAGAGGTCAGGAGAAGAGAAGGTGACCTGAGAGATTAACAACGATGCTTGGCAATGGTAATTCATGGACTTGAAAAGGAAATCAAGCCACCAAACTCTTCTTTCCTTGGCAGCAGCAATCAGAAATTTAATGATCATTATTCCATTCATGTCAAGATGTCTTATCATGTAATTAGCACCATAAACAATTGTCTAAATCACGGTGCCTGTCTTATCATGTAGATCATGGGTCACTGCATCTCGTCATGCCGTAGTGCATGTCATCAAGTAAACACAGAACTTAGCAAATACTTGCTGTTATCCCCTTTATTCAAGTCTATAATATTAACATGAAATGGATGGATAATAACGACGGGTTCGCTGCAAAGTCCTTGTTAGCATGCGCGTATGAAGGCGGGACTTCCTTAAATTAATAACCATACTTTCCCAAGGTAAAACTTCTCCGCGCAAGTATTAGTAAAATCAGATTAAGAAATTCATGTTAACAGCAGACCGACCTTTCAGGAGTGTTTATTTTTTATTTTTTAAAAATTATTTTTAAGATTAGTACATTAAAATAATTCAAAAAAATAACAAAAAAAAAATTGAATTTTTTTAAAGCATGAATTAAGCTGTATTTCCAGACGATTCCATCCATTGAGCGGTGGTTAACTCCTTTGCTTTTGTTTTTCGATTGGGATATCTATCCAATCATCCTCATTTCCTACACTTCCGCATCAAACTCATGAAAACTTCCCTGGCAATATCAGGTGGCTTTCACCTGTGAATTGCAATAGACAATAGGGTGCTTTACTTCAACCTTACACCATTCCACATCATGAATGCACAAAAAACTATGAAAAGCTTGAAAAATGGAACACCTTGAATGCAAATTGGCAATAGTTCAAGGTAACAAATGATCGAGCCAACTGATAGATGTGTACTGATTCAACTAAACAGAGAACTACCAAGCAATAGACGACCATGAAAACACTTTATTAACTTGGTGCTGATTCTGTATTGCAGAACACTTTACAGAACATATGCTCAAATATCTGTGAAATGGGAAGGCGTGAGTTAGTAGGGGCCATCATTTCACAAGCCTTTTGCTAAACCAAGCTAGTACGGATCTGGTCGGAAGAATCAGCTTGCATTCCCGGTAAGAAATGATCGAAATGATCGGTGAAACTGTGGCACACACATCGTAAACAACATAAACCAAGAACAAGAGTATTCTTGGCGGCAATTTCATTAATAAATTTAGAGCTAAAATGACACATTTAAGTGGACAGCATGCACAGGGATCACTTCTGACTCCAGAACCACGATTGCTGCTTGCACAAAAAACTGTCCAAAGAAGAACCGGGGCTACAATGCGCATGCATTATCTTCTTTGACTGCAAAGATTCCTAAAAATCATCATAATTCTAAAACCCACCGGCATTAACTTTAACATCATCGCTGCTACAGATATCTTTTGTTTAACTACAACACTGAACTAGAGTCGGGGTGGCTTTCTTTTAAGTTTCTTAAGCCCTTTTTGTGCATATTCACCAAGATATAGACCATTCTGACTGGTGACATGAGAAGTATCGGGCGTCAAGCAACGCATTAGTTGAATTTTTTCTTATAAATTGATGAATATTACTGCTACTTGAACAACGGGCATCTAATAGAATTGTGGTGAGCAGCAGCCAAAACTCTACTCCCACTATCCCTGCTCAGCAAATATATAATAAAATCATCAATTTCTTTTCAAGTTCACTTCCATTCCAGACTAAACAAATGGCAAGGTGATGAAAAGAAAAATGAGACTTATTTTTAATGGGAAAATGTCAGTACCTTAAATTCTTTGAGCAGAAATCTACAACAAAGTTGATATAGCACAAGGGCACTATTGCAGCCACATGGAGAATCCGGTCACCCTTCCGATCCACAAATAAAACTCAAAATGCATTTAACAATCAGGCTTCCAAGAAGAGAGTGCATAAACAATCCGGCCCTTCCACCCTTGGAGCAACCACTGGCTATCTTCATCAATTATAAAATCCTTGTGGTAGAGAGCTTCCACCCTCCCCTTCACTGTCGTAAAAATATCCTGATTCAAAGGGAGCTGCCTAAACCCAGCCCTTAGGATCCGCATTTGCCACTGCTTGTATGTCTCTGGCCTCTCTATCCTCTCTGCACCCTCGCATGCAATTACATTCATTGCCTCCCACCCAAAAACCTCTCTCTCAATAAGCAACCTCTCTGGGAGCTCACGAGACACATTAGCCTCCAGAACATCAAACAAAGTGGAGAAGTGGAACAGGGCCTCTCGGAAGCGTGTGATAAAGAATGGAGCATTGTAGGCTCCATTAACTACCCCTTGTATGAAAACATCAGGATTCATATTCCTGATCAAATTAAGAACGATATTTCTAGGACTCTCCACCACCACAGTCTCATCAAGCAAGTTTCTTGATCTATACACAGAATTCACAACAAGCACCTCATTTCTATCAATCTTGAGATCCTCAATTTTAATGGTTTCCCACTTCTGTGCTATAGCATTGAACTTGAATGGAACTTTGAAAGTGTTTGCATAATTTGCTAAGCGGCGTCCTGTCTCCTCAACCCTTTCTGCTGGTCGGAAACCTGGATTTGGGAGATCAATCCCAGTAATCCGCAGATGGGGAGGTCCTCCGGGTCTGGATGAGAGGCGCTGAATAAGGCAGGGCCATTGGAAACCATACATGATGCCAAAATCAACAATGTGAACCCTTGTTGCATTTTCAGCTATATTCATAATTGTTTTATTTGAGAAAA